GGCTTCTGGGAAATACAATAGAACTATTAGCTATTATCAGGTTTCTAAATATTAACTGTGCAAATTTTAGGAAGTCATGTGATTTTCTTGAGCATTATTTTTCTCATCCATAAAATGGAAATAATATTAACACCTGACTCATCTATCTCACAGGTTTATTTTTATTTTATTTTTTAAAATACTTTTTATTATTTTTTTAAAATATTTTTTATTGATTTTTTACAGAGAGGAAGGGAGAGGGATAGAGAGCTAGAAACATCGATGAGAGAGAAACATCCATCAGCTGCCTCCTGCACACCCCCTACTGGGGATATGCCCGCAACCAAGGTACATGCCCCTGACCAGAATCGAACCTGGGACCTTTCAGTCCGCAGGCCGATGCTCCATCCACTGAGCCAAACCGGTTACGGCTCACAGGTTTATTTTGAAGCTTGAATTAAGTATATTGAAGGTGAAAGTGCTTTCGAAACCATAAAGCACAAAAGAATCACCTTTGGTGATGAGAATAAATATAGCTCAGGGAAGCCGTCTTGGAATGCAGTTCCAAGGAATGAGAAAGCTATTTCTGAGCAAAACCCACAGGCTTCTTGTGAACATAGAGGCAAATTGCAACAGGCTGTGCAAGTCAGGAATGCCTCTGCCAAGCACACATCAGCATGCACATGTGCCCGGCATGGAAAAAAAATCTGACCACACATTGTTCTTTTTGGCTAAAACCCCACAAACCGATAGCAGTCATTCTAAGCAGCACCAACATAGTAAAAATGTTCACTGTCTCACTGTATCTCCAACTGGAATAGCCACCACAGAGTGAGACATGAAGGGATGTTATGGGCTCTAGGAAAGCTTCTAGGCTCCCATCCCCTCCCCACAAGCCCATCTATTTTAGCTGAATAATGTCTGACCTCAGAACTCCTTTATTTCTAGGAAAGCTAACAGTTTCAGCTATTATCACCTATTTAAAACTCGGGATGAATAAAGACTTAGCAGAAAACTTTCATCCAGATCTGGGCATGCTCAAAGTAAATACTCTCCACAACCCTTGTTGGATCCCTTCTCCGGTCATCATCTCTGTGTTGATGGACCAACTTCACTTTGTGACCGGCACTATTAAAGTCCTTACCTCCACTCCCACCATTCAAAACTCTTCTCCTTGAGTCCCAGGACATCACTTTGATTCTTCTCTTTCCCCTCTGACCATTCTTCCTTCCTTCCCCTTAGTGATACCTCTTCCAATTAAATGTTGGCATTCCTCTTGATGTATTTCTCATTTCATTTTATAATCTCTTCTGGGTGACCTCACTTACATATTTGTGTCTCCTACATCTAAATAAGTAGCCCAGCCCTAGCTGGTTTTGTTCAGTGGATAGAGCATCAGCCTTTGGACTGAAGGGTCCCAGGTTCGATTCTGGTCAAGGGCACATGCCCGGATTGAGGGCTCAGACTGTGCAGGGGGCAGCTGATCAATGATTCTCTCTCATCATTGATGTTTCTATCTCTCTCTCCCTCTTCCTTCCTCTCTGAAATCAATAAAAATATATTTAAATAAATAAATAAATAAACATGTAGCCCAAATCTCTTCTATGAATCCACTTTACTGTGGATGACTTGAAAGCACGTTGAGGTCAACTGTCTAAAACCAAACTCATTTTTTTTCTCCCTACCCTAACCTTCTCCTCCAGTTGTATTTCCAGCCTGATCAACCACAGTCAATGCCCTCACTTTTCACCTAGTAAGCTAAGTTAGAAACCTTCCTATTCTGGATGTCTTCTTGCCTTTTATTCCCCACATTCAAATAACTACCAAGTCCCTCTATTCTCTTGTACATGTATCAAATAACTATTTCTTAGTGCTCCTCTCTCCCTGTCTTCATTTTGTCCTCATCATGTTCCATTTGCATAATCACATTATTTTCTTAATCCATATTCATGACTCGAACCTCTCTTTTCGGGGGAATTCTTTTTTTTTAGAAGGCCAACAAATTATCTTTGCAAAGTGCAAATGTTATTATGGAACTCTCCTATTTGAGCTGTATTTTAAATATTCATATAATCTGGCCCTAAGTACCATTCCAGCCTCCTCTCCCATCTCTGTCCACACATGCACTTTATGTTCTAATTGCAGAAAATTATTTTTTCATTGTTCTGTTAGGCTTCCGCACCTTTACATGCAGCGTTCCTGTACCCTTCGCACCTCTACTCCCATCCACACAGTTCAACTAAATATCATCCCTTGTGAGAAGGCAGGGGGCAGCAATTGACATTTCTCTCTCACATCGATGTTTCTCTCTCTCCTTTCCTCTCTCTCTAAAATGAATTAGAAAAAGAAAAAGTAGTTTGTCATACTTACAGACCTCAAGAGAAGGGTGCATGCTGTGCTCTGCCACAGGGGACTGCACGGGGAAGCACTAGGTCAGTTAGGAGGCAGACAGAGTGGGAGAAAGGTTAGCAAGAGCCTTTACTGTGCCTTCCATCGGAAGGAATCGGGGAGGCGTGGCACGCGGGTTTGATTGGCTAGTTTAAGTAATTTCAGTGGGTTCTGGGGCACAGGGGCTACCCCTAGTGGCCTGGCCCTGGGGCCATTAGGGCAGGTGGTAGTGGCCTAGAGTGTGAGAGGTGATTGGGGGTATGGATTCCAAACTGGTTGGTTTACATATGAAAGGAGCAGCCACTGGGTTTTATTTGCTATCCAGGATTTAGCTAATCCTGAGAGGGGCAGTCCCTCCTGACTCAGCAAGCCCCCCAATGTCAAAGCATCAAGAAATCAGGAGAGATGTGAGATTTGGAAATACAGGAGTGATGTTCGATTTGGAGGACTGAACAGGAGCAGAAGTCACACATTGTTGTCCCAGGTAGTAGCAGGCAGAGGCCTAGGCTGTGGCAGAGGTGAGATTTTGTGGTAACCCAGAGACATTTCCTGTTCAGCACCATCTTGGTGCCATGATCACTGTCTGCAGTTTCTTGGAGTTTCTGCAGTTTCTCAAGTCCCTGAAAGCTATCTGCACCCCTGAGACCTAGCAGTGGCCTTCTCTGACCTTCTTTTTGCCATTCTTCCAGTGTTTTTGCAAGTACCTGGTTCCCTGCATTAAAATCTTTCTGCTTGAACTACTTAGAGTGATTTCTCTTTTTCTGACGAAAGCCTGACCAAATCCACCCTGAAAGGTGTGGAGGCTACTGTGTACCTCTTAGAGTTTGTTGTTTGCAAGTATGCTAATTTGACTTCTCCTACCAAGATTCTTGTGCTCAGAGTCAGCAAAATAATATGTACAATTCCATTTTTGGAATTCTGTCTTCATAGGATTTATTCCTCGCTGGTGAAGTGCATGTTATAGAGTCTCGTTATCCCCTGTATTCCTCGGGACTGTGTCTTTTTTTCTACTCTGGTATGATTACACAATACCATAATTTTTGTATATACTTTTCTTTCTGCAACATCTGTGAACCCCTTTAGGACAGGCACCTGGTATACCTCACAGTGTAGCCTCAGAATTTTGCCTGTTTCTTGACACACTGCAAATGGATGGATAAACTGCACAATAAGGAGGCATGACCAGCCCTGGCTATATGCCGGGAGTGCATACAACTAATCATAAAAATGGCTCCTGTTTATTGGTTGTATTCTGTGCTGGATGTATACAATTGTCACAGAAGTTAATGCCTCACAAAAACCTTGTAAGGCAATAACATCTGAAACAGGGTTAGAGAGGTTTGCTCTTGCTCAAAGTAACACAACAAACAAATGTCACGGCC